ATATACAATCAACACCCATAAAGGCAGCAATGAAGAAATCAAACAATGAATTGCATTGGACAAATCTGCTGCAAAAGACTTCTTTAAAGGGCTAAAGAGCAAAATATCACTTTTTTTTTTAATGTTTTATTGTGAATTATGTGATAGTTTACATGGGAGAACATTAGTTTTACATTCATCCTATTGTATATAATTTCATTGCTATGATTACAATCCCCTCCATGCATCATCAACCAACCAAAGGGTATACACTACAAGCCTTCATCCCAGTCATCAGCACACAGTCCCTCTCCCTCTCTGGATCTAAAGTCCCCAGTTGCTCCATCTCTCCACATCATTGTCTCTGCCTCCATCTCAGGCATCACTGCTTCTGGGTACGGTCCCGCTCTCTGCTCTTCTCCCTTGATGGCCCCAGGGACCTCCGCTCCTAGGCTGAAAAGTTAAACACTCCCTTCCTTGCTACAAAATGTCTACCTTTACAATTCCAACCCTCACATGCAGTCCTTATAACAATTATTCACTATTGTATCACAAGAGATCCATTCACATTTCATTTCATCAGCCCCGCCTAGACAGATTGTATACTACTCAAAGATATAACTTTGATGATTATGGTGTACCTTGGACTCCTGGTGTATGCTGTAGAAGCAGCATTGGACTGTGAACCATGAAGTAGGCAGTTCAAACCCACCAATTGCTCCTCAGAAATCCTGTACAGGGTCACTATGAGTTGGAACTGACTTGACGGCACTTAACAACCCAAGCCATGGTAATTTCAATACATGTGAAAGGCAATAAATAAGGAAAACCAAAGAAGAATTGATGCCTTTGAATTATGGTGTTGGCGTAGAATATTAAATATATACCATGGCCTGCAAAAAAAGGACCAAATCTGTCTCAGAAGAAGTACAGTTAGAATGCTCCTTGGAAGTGAAGATGGCCGACTTGGTCTCATGCACTTTGGACGTGCTATCAGGATGGAGAAGGACATCATGCTTGCTAGAAGGGAGGTAAGTGAAAAAGAGGAAGACCTTCAACAAGAGGGATTGGCACAGTGGCTGCCAACAATGGGCTCAAACATAGCAATGATTGTGAGGATGGCATGGAACAGGTAGCATTCCGTTCTGTTGTACACGGGGCCACACGGACCACTATGAGTTGGAACTAAGTAGACAGCATCTAACAACAGCAATTGTTACAACAGTTATAGGGAACATGAGGATGCATCAGGCCTGGAAAATCCTAATGGAAAAAGTGAATGTTCAGTCACGTAGTTGCTGTTGTTCAGTGCTTTTGAGTCAGTCCTGGTGTGACACTGTAGGATAAGCACTGGACTGTTAACTGAAAGGTAAGTGGTTCAAATCCACCAGCTGCTCCTTGGAAACCCTATACAGGGTTGCTATGAGTCTAAACTGACTCAGCGGCACATAACTTAAAAGGAGTAAACAGACTGGAAATTAAAGAATCATAGAATTAAGTGTAATGGAAGTAATCACGCCTTGAATGAAAGACAGACCAAAAAAATTAATTCCATCAAAGTGGTGGTCTATGAAGGTTTCCCAGAGGAGTGAGTTTCCTTTAAAATAAAGTTAATATATTTTTCTTATTACAAAAGCAATGTTGTTGTTAAGTAGTGTCAAGTTGATTCTGACTTATAGTGACCCTGTATAGGGTTTCTGAGTCTGTAAATGTTTGTGGGAACAGAAAGTCTCATCTTTCTCCCCTGGAGCTCTAACTACTGACTTTGTGGTTCATGTTGTTGTTGTTGTTAGGTGCCGTTGAGTTGGTTCTGACTTATAATGACCCTGTATAGGGTTTCCCAAGAGTGGCTGGTGAGTTTGAACCACTGACCTTGTGGTTCAAACCGACCTTGCAGTCCAGCGTATTAGCCCAAAGTGCCACAGCAGGACTGCTTGTGGTCCAGTGCTTATCCTATAGAACCACCATGCTCCCTGTAAGGAATATAAAGAACACAAATGAAGTAAACATAAAGTAAATACACATACCAGTATAACAACATGTATTGTTGTTGTTATGTGTCATTGAGTCGGTTTCAACTCATAGTGACTCTGTTTGTATAGGATTTCTGAGGAGCAGATTGTGGGTTCAAAATCATGGACCTTGTGGTCAGCAGTCTAGTGCTTATCCTACTAGGACGTCAGTATGTATAGAAATTGTTAACAGAGAACTAAAATTTGCCATGAAAATGTTCTCCAAAAATGGAATAAAATATATTTTTTTAAAAAAGAGTAAGCGCTATTAATGAAATTCTAGTTCTTGAACTGGGAGATGTTTTAAAAGTATTTTTTACAATGTACATATAAATTAAATTTCAGCAGCTGTAGCTAAAAAATGTTTTGGAGTTCTGGTGTGGCGCTATGGAAAAAATTGTTGCTGTTGTTAAGTGCTGTCTAGTCAGTTTGACTCAGTAACCCTGTATAGGGTCTCCAAGGAGTGGCTGTTGAATGTGAACCTCTGAAGTTTTGGTTCAAACCGACCTAGTGTTCCAGGGCTTTATCCTACAGCAACACACCAGTACTCCTATAGAATAAGTACTGGAGTGTTAACTGCAAGGTCAGTGGTTCAAACCCACCAGCTGCTCCTTGGAAACCCTGTACAGGCTTGCTATGAACTATAACTGATTCAATAGCACTTAACAACAAGAACATATGTAAAGTGCCTCTCACACTTAAAGGGGAAATAAAAATAAGATCTAGTCAAGGATTTTTGGAGGATTGGTCTAATAATTTTGACTTAACTATATTTTAGCTTCTAAGAAATGCAGACAAGGAAGCAAATGCTGTTGAGTGATGATGCACGGAGGGGATTATAATCATTGCAATGAAACTAAATATGTTAGGATGAATGTAAAGCTGATGTTCTCCCATGTAAACTTATCACTCAATTCACAATGAAAACTTAAAAAAGGTTGGAATCATAGTCTAAAAAATAATTTTTAGTTTCTAAAATTACAAGATAAAAGAGATAAAACTAGAAATATGGAAGAATCTATGGGGGGAAAAATCTTTGAGTCTCTGGTGAGCACAGAAAAAAAAAATCACCCAAGATTCAAACCACTCAAATCTAAATGGTAGGTTTATTAGACAATCAGATTTAGACCAATTTTTGTTGTAGTTGTTGTTAAGTGCCGTCGAGTCAGTTCCTATCCATAGCGACCCTGTATAGGGCTTCCGAGGAGCAGCTGGTGAGCTTGGACAGGCAAACTTGCAGTTCAAACAACTTTGCAGTCTGTCACATTAACCCACAGCGCCACACCAGGACTCTAATTTAGACAATCAGAAATCAACTCTAATCCACCAAAAGTGTAAAAACATTAATCATTACAGAATGAGTTTCAAGAATTCCATTTACATTCTGGAAATGGATAAACAGTTTATGACCCTGTTCTGGCTTAAGTGTAATAATGACAACGTAAAGTTTAAGATTGTTGTTGTTAAGTACTGTGGAGTTGGTTCCGACTAATAGCGATTCTATGTAGGGTTTCTGAGGTGGGTTTGAATGGCCAACCTTGCAGTTAGCAGCCCAATACTTATCCTGTTTTTATTAAGTGCTGTTAAGTCGGTTCTGATTCATAGTGAACAGTGAACAGTGTATAGGGTTTCTGAGGAACGGCTGGTGAGCTTGATCCACTGACTTTGCGGTTCAAACCGACCTTCCAATGCAGCACATTAACCCGCAGCGCCACACCAGGACTCCAATACTTATCCTTGTTGTTGTTGTTGTTAAGTGCCGTCGAGTCGGTTTCGACCCATAGCGACCCTGTACAGGGTTTCGGAGGGTGTAAATTTTTACGGGAGTAGAAAGCCTCATCTTTCTCCCGCGGAGCAGCTGGTAGTTTCAGACCGCTGACCTGAAGGTTCGCAGCCCGATTCGTAACCACTACGCTACCAGAGCTCCTAATACTTATCCTACTCATCTGTAATTTGAATTTTTAAATGTCGGTGGACAGATGCTGACACTAGGAACTCAGGTATCTCTTGTGGATAATCAGCAATTTACCTGTTCCAATTTGATTTGCCAAAGACGGTATTGTCCAATTGCTTAGTAAATGGTTTGGATAAAAATTTCCAAAAAGGATTCAGCGGAATGAAATAGAGTCTGAACCATGACAAGAGTTAAGAAAAGGCCAAAAGAGAGTGGCCGTTTTTCAGGTAGAGAAGGGGTCATTCTAGTCAAAAGCAACAGTAGAAGCAAAAGTAGCGTAACCATGCTGCATTATTTGGGTAACAACAAGTAACCTAGTATGACTGATGGGAAATGGACCCTTGCTGACCAGACCGTGAAGGGCAATTGGGTTCTATTCTAGAACCCTCCAGACTCTAGGCGGTTTCCCTTCCTAGCTCTCCGTCAGTTTTCAGTTTCTCTTTCCCGCCCCCTACTGGCTCCGCCCGCCCGGCGTCTCTCCGCGGCTCCGCCCCTTAGAGTAACAGGGAAGCGGAGGCGGAGCCTAGTGCGGTCATCTCACCGCACCTTCCTATGGTGTGCGGACTTGAAGGCGCCGTTTAATGATGTCACGGTCATTGACAGCGTGAAGAGGTGGAGGCCGTGGTGTCTGCCATGGTGGCGAGGGACAGGGTAAGAGTCTGAGGGTCAAAGTTGATCTCCTGCCAGGCTAGAGCGCTGGGGAGGTCCGGAGATTGCTGAAAGGGAGGCGAGGTCGTTGACTGCCATGTGGTTCGGCTATTGTGGGGATTGGAGGCTCACAGCCCGACTCTTTGAATTGGGCTGGGGGGTGGTGTTGGAGGGGAGGCTACCTCCAGGCTGAGTGAAAGGCGCGGTGATCTAGATCCTGGGGGCTGACAGAAAGTAAGGCTCCGCAGTGGGGTGAGGGTAAGTCTGGAGCTAAGTAAGGGTCTGGGCAAGGAGATACCTCCAGAGGTTCGACCTCTGGGGTGGGTGGGCTAGGCTCACCCGCACCCAACTTCTCTCCACCCCCATCCTACCGTCTCTTCTTGGCGCGATTGGTCTGCAGGTGCAACATGTCTAAACTGGGGGCCCTGGGCGGCACTCGCACCGGCGTGGGGCTGTTGCTGGGGACCGCCGCGGGCCTTGGATTCCTGTGTGCTCTTTACATTCAGCGGTGGAAACGAACCCAGCGCCATGGCCTCAGCCAGAGCCTGCCCAATTCCCTGGACTATACGCGGACTTCAGAGCCTGGGCGCCAGGGTAAGCGGTAGCCCGCTGAGATCATGGTCACTGCTGACACCGTCTGTGGGCAACGGTGGTGCCTAGGGGTTTCATTTTCTTGGAATCATTGAAAAGGAAAGCAGTCTTTATCTTCGTAACCTTTCCCCCTATAATCCCAGGAAAGTATGTTGTGAAATACTTACACTTTTCACTTTCAGATCTGACCACATAGTTCTGGGTTAACAAGATTTAGTGTGTGCAGCAAGCAGACCTTTGAGTTGATCCCGACGCACAGCGATCCAGCATAATGTTTCTGTAGAGCAGAAAGCCTCATCTTTCTCCCACGGATCAGTTTATGGGTTTGAACTGGGAACCATTTGGTTAGTGGTGGTGGTGGTTATGTGCAGTGCAGTCGGTTCCGATTCATAGCGACCCTTTACAGGGTTTTCGAGACTGTGAATCTGTTAGTAGTCTGGTTCTTGTTCTTTAACACCACTAGGGCTTCTTGTAGCAAGTGGGAGGAAGAGTCCCAAAGAAGGCAAAAGAAATAAATCATCTTTTAATCATTAAAAATCTTGAAGCTTACTTATCATCTTTAGAATTTGAAGGTGACCTTGGAGATGTTCTAGTCCAAATTTTTTGTCCTTATGAGGAAATCAAGAATTAAATAATTGAATAACTATCCTGAGATTTTCACAGAGCAAGTAAAGTGGCAGGGTTGGAGCTGGTCATCTGGTTCAATGGGCTTTTCTTAGCACTAGGCTGGGAGCTCACTTAGTGCCTATGAAGTTGAACATAGGTGGAAGCCAGCCACAGCTGAAATGGACAGTGCTTTCAGTTTTGTAAAGCTTTCTTGTTAATTCCTTGAGCAAAGAATCCAGGGCTGGCTTAAACCTTCCCATTCCTTCCTTATCTTTGTATAATAGAGGACTGTTCAGATCATCTCATCCCATGTTAATTGTGTTTTCTCTGATTACTGTCAGGTCTGATTTTAGCCATGTTGGTTTG